GCAAGCCGGATAGGTAAGGAGGAAACCCTAGCACCAACACCCCGCGTGAACGATATACGAGTGAGATCTCATGATACAATTTTATTTTATTTTTCTTTCCAAAGAGTACCGTAATAACTTGAACAAGAGAAGGGTGTGCTATGTAGTCAAGACATTCCCAACTTTGGAAAAGGGGGCGAAAAACACGGCAAAAAAGGATACATAAAAAATTTAAAAAAACAGACCTTACCAGAGGGGGTAACTCCAACGACATGATTAGCACACCGCTATCTTGTTCAAGTTAATACGGTATGATAACGCTCCCAGCATCATCTTGGGGTTCAAAGATTCAAGACTCGCCACCAAACCACCCGGGCAAAACGGCGGGGCGAATCCCGGTTAACATCTCAGAAACAGATTGCCATGAGGATGATAATCTCTTCGTATGCGGTGCGATACTAGACTTTAAAACGTGAAAATATAGGTTGCACTGTCCGCGTAGGAGAAAGGAAACCCCCCCCCCCCCCAACTCTGCGATCGACTGTTTCACCCGGCTGGCTGGACTTGAGTGCTATTCTCCCCAAGAAGGTGATTTAGGCCCTGTGCTGCACTCCCCTGAATCGGAGAGAAGATGAAAACGAAAGTCAGTTTTTGATGAAAATAGAGCGCCTATAAATAGAAATAAAATAATTGGCTATTGCGGAGAATGCTGGGCTTTGGCATGTCCAGAGTTTAGTTTTTTTTGTTTCAGTTCAGTGAGTATATCGCACCTCATAGGAACAAAGAGGAATTGTATGTATGATATAATAAAGGTTTGATTTTGCAAAACAAGTATGATCGATTCCCTTTGTTTTAGCACAACCAATGGGATGAAAATAAGAGTAAAAAAAAAAAACCCCTGTCCTGGCCCTGACACATATGCAGTATCACAGCTCTGGAGTAATAATTTACCACACGAGGTTCCGGAGGGAATGGAGAGAATGCTCTGATAGCAACAGGTTTACAGGATATACGGCAGGAGAGATATACATCTTCACCACGCAAGTAAGACACTTATATTCCCAGCTTTTATGGGCCACCCACCCCCGCGCGTGTGAACGGAAAAGATAAGAGGCGATTCGGCAAGCACATTAATTCACCCGATTTTCCTACCAACCTCCACATTTTCATCCTCCCTTTATCCGGTTTGAACATATCATACAGTCGGAAGAACCGAAAGCTACACAACATAAATTTGACATGCGGGACACCACAGTTCGGCAAACTTTTCCTTGACCTTTTTTTTTTCTTTATCTTGTATGATATGTGGCATGTGAGGTTGGGCCTTTATTTTATTCATATCTTGGTCTCAGCTCTTTAGCATCCCTCACTTGGTTTAAAATTTAGAGAGAATAAAAGTATGATATGAACGCACTTTTATTAGAACCTACACTTGAGCACTCAACACCAAACAAATTTTTTTGGCCTAGAAAGCTTCATAGACATGTAGAGTATATATTCATTGGTTCAAAAAATATTCATGAGCCTTATATACTGTAATCTGCAGCTTCTAAACCAAAAAATGTGAAAAATACTAAAATGTATTTTTTTACACTAAAAATATCTTGTACTCCTTGAGTATCTGTAGTACTGATTTACTTGAAATTATTTTTTCCGGTTGCCACACTTCAAATGCATTTTTCTTGTCTTGGCAAAAAAAAGGCCCAAGTGGTGTAGGTTCTAAAAAAAAAACCCGTTCAATTATGAAAAAAAAAAAACCCCCTCCCAATCACGCATCCTCTTGATTCGGTTTATAAACCGTTTTGAGGATACACGGACTTTTTTGTATCATACTTGTAGGACTGCCCACTAACCTAATTAGCCAAAATGTGATAAAAAATTCTGAGAAATGGAGAAACAACAGTGCGACCCCCGTAGGCGCCACACGATACCCTGCTTTCCCCCCCCATCCAGGAATGGCGGGAACAAGGGGGGAAAAGGGGGTAATTTTTTTTTCTGGCACGCCAAAACAACTTCCTTAGCCATTGCCACACTTTCCCGTCTCGTTTCGACATGCCTTCACAAACCGTCACTCGTACGCTACCGGAACCTCGTTGAAAACTGAAGTTGACCTTAAAAATAGAGTCGTATTCAATCTTGTGTTGGGTTAATGGAATAATAACAACAAAACAAAGACATATATACAAACATCCAAGTTCAGCGCAGCCATCATTCCATACCAGCCTTCATTCCCAAGCCACTGATTCCCAATCAGAGAATGCAAGCCCACGGCTTCAAGTTCATTCCTGACCCAGGAATGAAATCCACCAGTCACTCAGTATGCGTAGTGCATTCCAGACAACACTCGTCCCTGGCCCTTTTTTAAAAGACACCACCAACCAGCATCAGATCCTATAATGGGAAGGATCGTTTTCTTGTATCCCGTCTCGCAGCCAAGATTCACGTTTCCCTATCAATCGTTTACATTACCCCAGCGTACCCTATCGCCCGTCTCGGGAGACTTCACGAATCCGCGACGCCCAGCCAGAGTGTCGGACGGAGTACCTCGGGCGGAAAGCTATTGCGGCCGACAAAAGAAGGCTGGGGGAAAACCGAACACTCCTCCCAATCCGTTCCTATGTCGGTGTTGCGCTGGTGCAGCACGCCGGGGTGGGATACCCCATGAGCCCCGAAAACCTACTATGGAATTAGGGCGGCGGGTATGGATATCGAGCATCTGAGACACGCACTGGTGACAAACGGGAGCAGAAGTTGGGCAACAGCTATTGCCTATTGGGCGAAACAAGCTCCGAACGTTATTCAAGAAGCGGGGTGGGTTGGGTGGACCAGAAAGGGTAAACAAGTACTCGCTAAATACTATTCTCCAGGGCTAGCTTCTGCTTCGCATCCCACGAGTGACCGAAATGTTGGATCGCCCGTAGGGCATACAGCCAGACGGTCAGATTTCTCTAGGAATTTTGCCTCTTTAGAACTCGTAGTGTTTCGTTTGGATTCGTGAGCTCTATTTAGTTTCCAGAGTTGTTAGGTATTTAGAGATATATGTCATTTCCCGATATGCCCTTAGCTAGCTCCTCCATCAATTGTCTGTGAAAAGTTTCCACTTGTTCAGCGGGCTTCATTTGCCTGGACCCCACTTGCGATGCTGGGTCAGGCGTAGTAGTATTTCCTTTAAGAAATACGCACACTTCATAATATTATCAACTTCCTTACCAGGTTACCCCGATGCTACGCTTTGGAGGCGAGGAGGGTTGAAAGACAAATGAACAAAAAATGCGCAAAAAGGATCCATGATACCACCAAAAGAAATAGAACTGTGCCGTGAATAATATAGTGATGAAAATTTCAAGCTGTGATACACCGTGCTAACTCAATACGATGGAAATAGGTCTCCGCAGACGCCACACTCAAAATCGAAACCGGAACCCGCGAATCCTAACCCAACCACACGAGAAAATATCTAATCCGAGTTTCCATGGCAGGCACACTAAGGTAGCATACAGAAGAGGGCGATAACTGGCCCTACAGGGCGGCACTCCAAATCACGGGGGGGACGGCGGCGGTGACAGACGTGATTATGGAGTTGTTGCAGTACCTGCGGAAATAGCTATTCGGAGGCGGCAAGGGGGATGTTTCCCCGGCCTTAGGTTGTTCTAGGAGCGGAAGAAGCTAGGGGCGGCGTTACGGATAATTCGTCCAGCCTCTCGGAGTTGGCGTCCCCCCATCCCACCACTATTTTAACCACACCCTCATATTCTCTCATAGAAGCATAGTAGAGTGGTGTTCGGCCGCCATTATCTGGTTTGTTTGGGTTGACGCCGCCCTATCCGAGCAGTATTCTCACCACTCCTTCATGCCCAAACATGGCAGCACGACAGAGTGGTGTTTGACCGTCGTCGGTGTCAGGTTTTTCGGGGTTGATGTCGCCCCGCCCGAGTAGCAGTTTCACCATTGTTTCGTGCCCATCCTCAGCAACATAATGGAGCACTGTTGGCCATACATGTCTGGTTCGTCCGGGTTGACGTCCTCCCACCCGAGTAGTATTTTCACGGCACCCTCATGCCCATTACAGACAGCAAGCAAGAGCGGTGTTTGGTCAAACAAATCCGGTTTGTCGGGGTTGACGTCGGCCTGTCCAAGTAGCATTTCCACCACTCCCTCGTGCCCACCTAGAGCGGACGGTGAAGTGGTGTTTGGTCATCGTTATTCGGTTTGTCGGGGTCAACATCGTCCCGTCCGAGTAGTAATTTCACCACTCCGTTGTGCCCATTAGAAGAAGCGCACCAAAGTGGCGTTTTGCCGCACCCATCTGGCTTGTCGGAGTGGATGTCGTCGTGTCCCAGCAGCATTTTCACCACTGCCTCGTGCCCATTCTGGGCAGCCCACATGAGAGGTGAACTGCTCATGCAGCCTTTTCGGTTGATGTCGCAAACTTCCCCTCTACCAAACCGGCAGAAATCACAATATTCCCGAAGGTGGATGCGGAATATAGACTCTGGCTTGGGAAAGCTGATCGAAATCAATGGTGTATTGTTCCCGCGCTCCGCTGTGGGTCGACTGTTGGGTAGGGAGCTCATAAATTTACTTTTTTTTGGAACGGATGCGACCATCACTAAGTCCGCCAACAAGGCCGGGTAACTTTGTGGCAATGAGGGGTGGCGGCATAAATTTATTGTGCCTGAGCGCCTCCCTTTTGCTGATTAGGGAATTCCGGAATGATGGAAATATTGGTGCCGGGAATCCTAAAATGATCCACTCCGGAACGAAAATGGACAACGAATGCTCCACAAAAGGACAAGAATTTTTTTGGGAAAACAAACTCTATAGAAGTGCCCATGATTAGCTCTGCTTCAATTCTAGGGACTCTAATCTTTTACTGAGTGAGAATTGACCGCAAACGCATCTTCTGGGGGCGCAGAAAGGCAGAAATTTGTCGGTATTACTAAGCAAAGTAAGGGTCAGTTTTAAATGTCCGATACGGCATCATATCATACTTGGGGAAGAGGCGGCAGGGAGGTGAAGGTATACCGCACGGTACGGGTACAGTACTCACGCCCGGGCATAGGTGAGTGGACAGCCCGAGGTTAGGTGTCAAAGCTTCTTGCTCGTTTGAACAATCTTCATGCCGAAATTCATTAGTCTACTTGCTCTCTTGTACCCCACCACCACCTGAGCCCCAACCTACAACGAACGGATACGGAATGTCCAAACTCCTGGAAGGCAAAACCATCGCAATCACCGGTGCCGCAACCGGCATCGGCAGAGCCACAGCCATCGAGATGGCCCGTCAAGGAGCGAACATAAGCATAGGCTACCTCGGGCCCACCCAAGACTCATCGGTAGCCTCCCTCCGCCAGGAAATCGAGTCAGCGCCCATCTCCGGCCACCTGCTCGCAATCCCGGGAGACATTTCCGACGCGGAGACCAGCAAGAAGCTAATCAGGTGCACGGTCGAGGAGTTCGGCAGACTCGATGCCTTCGTCTCGAACGCTGGCGTCTGCCAATTCCACGACTTTCTCACCATGCCGAAGGAACTCTACGACAGGACGGTAGCGGTGAACCTCAACGGTGCCTTCTACGCCGTTCAGGCCGCCGCGAATCAAATGGTCTTGCAGGGCACCGGCGGGAGCATAATCGCCATATCCTCCATCAGCGCGCTGGTGGGAGGAGCCGGTCAGACGCACTATACCCCGACGAAAGCTGGTGTCCTGTCACTGATGCAGAGCTGCGCTGCGGCGCTGGGAAAGCACGGGATTCGCTGTAATGCGATTTTACCGGGGACCATCGAGACCGCGTTGAACGAGGAGGATTTGGCGGATAAGGGGAAAAGGGAGTACATGGAGGGGCGGATTCCGCTGGGGAGGACGGGGGTGCCGGAGGATATTGCGGGTCCCGCAGTCTTCTTGGCGAGTGATTTGTCGAGATACATGGTTTGCCCTATTCTCTCTGTCAGACGGTACCTTTAGGGGATTGGGCTAATGATGGGGATGGGTAGACTGGTGCGCAGTTGCTTGTTGGTGGGTTTATGGTCCCTGTGTGATCCGATCTCAGTGAAGCTAATTGCGTCCAGATGGGGGGCTATTCGTTAATTTACAGTAGGTTCAGTTCTAAGGATCGGAATTCACGGTTTACTGCTCAAACACCGTCTATTACACCTTTCTTTTCTTGATTCTTAGAATGCCGATTCCCGTTCTGGAGATATCAGGGCCTACACAAACTTCATTGCAATAAATTTTTAAACGGGAAAACTCCGGAAGACTCCTGTAAACCTTGACCTTCCCCAGACCGCATGTTTAGCATAATACATCAATATTAGCGCGGGTATAGGGTACGGGGAGCGGGGGAGGTAGAGTGAGGAGATGACAGACGGCAAGGATTTGAGATGGAGTTGCAGACTTCATCGTGTTGCGGTTCGGCGGGATGAGCTGTGACGGGATCAGGAATTAGTATCTATAAATTGTCATTAGAGCCGTGTCACCTAAAGGTCAGAGAGGTGGGATGTATTACCGTACTCTCCCGCAGGGCAAAGAGCTAAAGCTGCCGAACTGTCTCATTGTATCCGATAAACTTGATTCCATATATTATAAAAGTTTAACTGCAAACTGCCCAAGACGATTGCAGTCTCTGTCTTGCTCTTCGTTAATCCTCACAATGGCCTTGCTTTACCCCTAGTTTGCCTCTGACTTTATAGCACAGCAGTACCCATACGGATTATGACCCGTTACTAGGGCTCTGTCTTCGGTGCTATGCCTTAATACCACGAGTGCGCAACCGACCTCTCCTACCCCCACCGACGGAGAATAACAGAGGAGAAAATAAATCTGGCCTGTGGATATTTTACCATCAAGAGTGCACGCGGTGCCCACCCCCCCAGGAAGAAATGTCGCTTCTGTCCCCTAGATCCGGGCCAGGTAGACAGGGAGGGAGCGGGGAAGGGGAGCGTATTAAGATTAGCGTAGGATTACCACACTGGGTGCCGACCGATTTACGCAAGGTTCGCGCTCTTCCACAGAGTGCACAGAATGGAAGAGATTGGATACCGGTACTGTACAGTATATTGACCGGGATGATTTGTTGTTTCGAGCAATCTGGATACCTGCATAATGTCAACATCAACGGAATTATGGCACAATCTTCCGGTATCCTCCAGTGAGTGAGGGCGAGGAGTGAAGCCGCTAGCTTGATGGGAAAGCAACAAGCTCGAGGCCGTAACGTATGGACAGATGCTTGCCTCCGGGGATAAGGGGAACTGCGGTGCACGAAGGTGAATGTACCTTTCCGGGGATAATAAGCTCGAGGTGTACGTTCCGCCGCCCAAAAGTATCCCCCAACGCGCAAGGAAATGCCGGGAAGCCATCATCCAACACAATGAACATCTCGCGCAGTACCATACCGCACCAAGAGAGAACACACTCGACAAATGAAGAGAAAAATAAACCCCCGGATTCTTTGATGCTAGCGGCTGCAAACCCACATATCATGTCACACCCTCATCTTCCCACCGACAGGAACAATATCACAAACTTGCTCACCATTTCGTGCCAGTTCCACCGCTCAGTCGGTACAAAAATCATATGACCTGGTCACCACATTCAAAACCCGAGTGATTATGTGTGATGCTGGTGGTCCCTATCATTCGGATTTGATGCAGCAGTCCTGTGCCACTTGGGGTGTTCTACTCTCCTGCGCAAATTTCCCCTCTCTTCTTACTCTCAGTAGCTATACGCTTACAATAATGTGCTATTTCTCGTAGCAGAAACGATGGGAGCAGAAAAGAGAAATCGAATATAATTTTTTGGCAAGGACTAGCTTCGATAACATAATATAACTTGGATAAGCGGCTTCTCCGAGCTCGCCATCCACAGACTTCCCCAACCTAATCGATCGCGGTACCCCAGAGAAATGTGCACGAAGGGGTAAAGAGAAACAGGAGAAACAAGAGGAGCAGGAAGAATAGGAACTGCCCCAAACCCATTTGTTCTAATCCACACTTCAATTGTGAATGTGGTAAAGAAATTTATGAAGCATTTGAGAAGGGGCCCTCCTGCTAACGTGATATCCTATCTTGGAAAGGGACCTGCTATGATATATTACAAGCATGATTAAGGGAATTTGTGTCCCAAACTCTCAGGTGTTATCATTGCTATACCGCCGTGGTAGGGAGAGGGTAATTATTGCCACAAGATTGCTCCTACCTTCCCCATTCCTAATTCAAAGACCCAGTAGTGAGAGTACCGGTACCTCACCGGCAGACAGGAAAAGGAGGTGCTGGGAATGGTAGGAGAGTGTGTGAGTTAAGGCTAACACATTTCTCCCCTGGAGGTATCTTGCACGATATGATAAAACGTCGTTCGAGAGAAACGCACCATCACTAACGTGCCCTCTACCATAAGCGCCAGGGTGAATTAGACTTGTCAATTTACAAAATCACTACTCCGTCCTCTGAGAAAGAGGCTAAGGTAGTTTCCCTTCTACATGTGGGGGGAAAAAGAAGTCAAGTCCTATCCATTATATAGCCCGCATCCGATCACTTCTGCCCCCCCCCCCTGTGATTTTGCAACTAACTACTGACACCCTCCGACGGTAAATCAGGCGTGGGGACAAGTGATAACCGATGATGGCTAATAATGTAGTCAATGGTACGGGAATTCTTTATCTTATAAGTTACACATTATTGTTAGTTGCCCAATAATAGACAATTTTCTTGTAAAGTCTCTCACATTACCTCAAATCTATACATTTATTTTTAGGATTTCCTTAGTAGGTTTTCAGGGTCGAATGCCTTTGCATTTTGTTTCCTTCCGCTGTTTCCCTCAGTTATACAACGGCTCTCATCCTGTATACACAGGAGTTACCAACCACCTTTCTGAACGGAATTAAGGGCAAGAGCTCCCACTAATCGTCCTTTCCACCTCCTCCTAGCCTAGCATGTCCACAATATATTCTTAATATTGCGTAGTATTTTCCTCCAGCGTTATTTGAGATCGTGTCTACCGTACACAAAACTCGATACTTCTTTATACATCCCCCAACCCTCGTTATCCGGAGAGCCTTAACCTCATGTCGTCACTACCTTCATTTCCTTCTGCGGGCACGGATTGCCCGTACCTCCTCATATGATTATCTCCACCCAGGTGCCCTAGAATCAGTTCCTTGACTCCCACCCGCCGTACTGCATAGTACCCAAGCACCGAGTGCGCGCCTGTGATCCTCTACCACACACATAACCACCGCGCCCGCATTCCCACCACACATCCCGGCTCCGCAGCCAAACTACCCCCCGCTCCCATCCCGCAATAAACAGCCAAACAACCGGCAGCACCCTGACTAACCCACCCACCCCACCAATCCAGCACCGGTCCGGTACCAAAAAAACCATCCATTCCTCGACACGCTCCTGCTGCACCACCCCCTCCCCCCTGTGCACGGAAGCAGCATGCCACACCCGCCTATCACGGAAGCGATCGCAGGGATTACTCAACCTCGCGAAGCCTAAGGAAGTCCAATCCCGCCAAGCTTTTCTGGTGACGGGAGTTTTTATGTGAGTCACACGCGCGGTAGGCGCTCGCGGTGAGCGCGGCAGTTGGTTTCGGCCGTGCATTGGTGGGAGTGCAGTTCCGGGTGATGGAGGGATGGAGGGAGGGGGATTCAACGTGGAACGGATGGGTGCCGCACCGGGATTATGCGCCGTACCGTGCCGGTGGGTCTTCTTTGGGGTTGTGATTAGTATTGGTCACATACCTGATCCCATACTCGGATATTGATAGCTTGTGCGAGGGAGGGAGGGGGGGATGGGGGATGGGGGCGGGGTTAGGTGTACGAGTACAAGTACCGGTATTTCCTAGTCTGGGTTTTTGGGGGCGGGGGGCTGAGACTTGGATGAGGTAAGCCGGTTTGGTTGGCTGGTTATGATACCGGTGACTTAGCGCACGATGGATGGATATGATACTATTTTGAACGGTAGGTCCAACGCAGAGTGGGTTTCGTAAATCTTTTTCCTATTCCGGCCTTATGCTAACTTGTCAGTTACACCAGGCTGCGGTGGTTCATCAAAATGTTCTCATGTCCATTTCAACAGTACCGGTACGAGTACTCTATGAGTGCTCTCCCTGGATTACCTTATCGTGCATTTACGTGTGCCTACCGTAGGCACGCCAAACGCAGAACATATTTCAAGAACTCGACTATCCAGCCAAACCCTGCACCACCAGAGAGATCTCTACCCCAACGGAGAGGGTATGTCGGCACTTGCAGTGCTTCGATTTCCCGACATGAGGACTGTACGATTCGTACCGTACAGTACATTGTATCCCATCCCATGCACTCAGGGAGAATACGGTACGCGGTACCAATACACCCCCCCCGCCAACCAAAGCTATCGTAGCACAACCAAGGCGGACCGAACCGGAGTTCATCCTATCCCATCCCATCCGTTTTCGCTTCCATCCACAAACACCATAATATGCACCGGCACCCGCAATCCGTTTTTTTGCCACGATATCCACCAACCAATCCTACCCCACCCCGAGCATGAGTAATCGCTTCACCGTATTCGAAAAAGGCGAAGGCCATGCGTTCGTTATCCTTTACCGTACTCTAACCACTGCTTACGGTATGCAAAGCATATCGAGGTGAGGAATGCGTCATGTCGTGCTACGTGCAATTGTTTCTAAGTTTAAATTTCGGATACCCGAGTGAAGGCTTAGCCAGCCTTGATATCACATTCGCAGATACTCGAGACCAATTCCGGTCGCAGATCAACGCTGCAGGGGACCGGGGTGGGGGGGTCACTCCTGTCCAAGTGATACCGGTACTTGCAACGAAAAGCTCCCTGTTTCTAAATTAAAAGTGGGGTTTGAAAATTCGGGGGCATTGGTACGGTACGGTAGCTGTGCAACCTTAAAATCCACAAACTTAGAATCCATGATCGCCGCCATGCCGCAGACGGTATGAGGGTGTAGGTATCATAGGTGTTCGAAACCGGACCTTGACAGCTGACAGGTGGGGTCGAGTGATACCTAGTGATACTATAACAAACCATACGGGGAAAGATGTCCGATTAGCCGGAAAAGCGCTACTATACTATATCCTCCATGCGCACGATTTAATAGGCCCCTGTGATCCTTTTTCGAGATTGGGTTTTCAGGCTGGAACTGCACAGTCGCATCCAAAAAGTTTCCTCTTACCCCTCTCTCTTCCCATTACCCAAGAAACAGATCGTGACAGACGCCCGACGATGCCTCTCGAGGCACATCCGATAACAGTTGTCTAAAAGAATCTTGTTCCGTTGTTATGTTGTTATTTTTGCTGCTCATAGTTATCATTCTTGGAACCTGTCTATAGGGAGGGTATGAGAACATACCGGACATGGTTGTACAGTGCTGTGCAGCCCCATTCGTAGAGCTCTCATATCTTTACAAGTACCCCCTTTTCCTGGAAACTCTCCGTTAAGCGTCTCCCTCTCTATTCACTAAATCAACTTGTCGTGAAAGTCTACAATGCAACCCCCAGGGGCATATCCACAAGCTATCATCTAAAAGTATCTGTTTCTGTTATTGTCGTTGATGTGGTATTGATCTTGAAGTATGATACAAGGAGGGGATGGGCACCTTACAGAGATGGATACCGTACTT